TCTTCCAGCATTTTTCGCATATACACTGCTTCCTCTAAACCCTCCTGAAGACTGAGAGTTTCAGCTGCAATCGTGGATCTCACTACTCTCTTGATCTTCCCAGCGTGCCAAGCTAAGGGACAACAGCAAATGTTTTCACCAAGAAGAAACACAATGTAGGCACCTACACTACCTACTCCATCACACACATTAGCATGTGCCGCATCAGTGAACACAACTATCTTCCAGCTGGAAACATTGCCGATATTCCGGAACACAAGCTTTGCTTCATTTTCTTTCAGCTTTCTGATCACCTTGATTGCTCTCAACAAGTCTTCTACTGTACCCTTCTTGAACTTGGTGCTGAGATCAATCATTTCAAAAGCAATGTCAGGACGACAACCTTGCACAACCCAGTTGATTCTTCCAACCATCTGTCTCAATACCGTATGTTCTTTCACAGTTAGAATTTCAGCTTTTCGTGATTTTCTTTGAGGTGACACATTGTCGAATTCTAATTCTTGCACATATTCATTCTGATCTAGCACAATAGCACCAGGATTCTGCGTGATCTGAAAACCAACATATTTGAATTGTCCACTCTCCCTCTTCCCAGCTTTGAAATACTGAACTAACTGTGCTATGATGTTGTCAAAATGAGGTTGTCCACAGTGTAAGAAATCGTCAACATGACAAGCAATCATTCCTATGAGACATCCACCATATTTTATGTAAAACAATGATGGGTCATACACTGACTGAATACATCCCAGCTGCAGTAGGCGATCTCTCACACTCTGGTAAAACTGTCTTGCAGCATCATTCAGTCCATACAGACAGTGCTTTAGCTTCCACAGTTTGTCGTCAGCTACACTAGTGTCCTTTGGGGGAATAATATACACATCTCTGTCTAAAGCTTTTCCTTGAAGAAATGCAGACTTAATGTCTGTGGTCTTGATGTCCCAGTTTTGCCATACTGCAAGAGTTAAAAACATTCGTATTGCAGTCTTACTGACAGTTGGCGAGTCTCTATCAAAGACACCATCTTCCTCAAATCCCCTAGCCACTAGCATTGCTTTAACTTTATCACCCTTCTGACATATTACCCATCGAGTGGAAATACAAGGCTGTCCACAATTTTCAACTTCTTCATATGTATCAAACTCTCGTAAACGTCCAAGCTCTTCACATTTCGCCTACACACAATCAATATCATCATGTCTTGATTTTGGAATAGTCACCACGTTAACATCATGGACTATCACTTTCATCCAGTCATGCACTTTGTCAAGGTTCACCATTGTCACAGTTTCACCATCACCTCCACATATGTTGAACACATTCTTATTTCGCCCAGACACTTTGCCTCCTCTACTCACAACTGTAGCAACCACCGAATCATCTTCTGATGTGTCTTTGAACTGTATTCATTCACATACGCTATTTATCTGTCACGTCACCTTGTATACATGCTCACTCGCTTATACCCGGGAATTCCCCATAAACCCCATAGCTAGGCTGTAACATGCGCCGAGCAGAGTTCATAGCAGACGACATCAACAACACATAGTATGTGTAGTGAGTAGTAAGTCCAGTGACGTCACTCATTCATAAAGTTGGCTTATGTATCAATGCGCCGATACAATGAGAAAGGACGAAATATGCATCGATTTGATCCCAAAGTGGTGAGATTTTAGGTTGTGTAAGAAACAGATTGCTGTACTCGTGAGATAAATGGAGTCTGGCAAACACTCGTTTAGTTTCTTCTGAGGCCCGGGTTAGAATTGATCTTCAGCAACCCATGCTTGTCGTAAGAGGCGACAAACGGGATCGGTTGGCACATGTCATCGTATCCAAATTGCGAAGATCGATGCTGATGATGTTGATCACATGATTGTCTGGTCATAGACTGGAATAGCTGGAATATTGCAAAGGGCGACGTTAAAGAAAGAAAACTTGGTGTGATCTCAATAGTTACGTTTACATCTTGATGTGCAGTGCAAAAGAGTAAATACGGGTACATATGAGAGTGATTGAGTTAGTGAGTGAGTGAATATCTTTTTACGTCGCTTTTCGCCATATGCCAGCAATATCATGGCGGGGGATACCAGAAATGGTCTTCACACATTGTACCCATGGAGGGAATCGAACCCGGGTCTTCGGCGTGACGAGCGGACGCTTTAACCACTTGGCTACCACAGAGCAGACAGACCCAGCACGCATGACAACATAGTGTTCAAGTGTTTCAATAAGCAAGGACATGATTCACAGAGTAGACAGACCCAGCAGTGCCAAGTAAACTCATGACAACATAGTATTCAATATTCAACTGCCCAATAGCAACGACACGGCGTATTCACTAATGTTTCATTAATCAAGGACATCGTTCATGTGACAGGGAAATAGTGTCAAGTGAAACTACACGCACATCAACAGCTCAGATCTGTCAGTGTTAACCAGCTGCTGGCTATGTTTCTGTTTTACATTGTTACCGGATTGTTTCATGTGTGTGGTATGTATCTGTCTTCGTAATTGATATTTTATATAGCCATCCTTGTGACTTTTTTCTTAAGTAATACGGGCTATTCTGTCAGTATGAACTTATCACGCCAGTTTTTAATATGTTTTTCTTTTAAAGATAATAATTCATGTCTATAGCGCCTAGTATCAATCTGTCTAGTTGCTCACTGGACGCTGAATCACAATCTGATTAGTATTACCCTGTATAACCCAAGCTGCCTGTAAGGCGCTCGAAGGTTAATAGTCACCTGACTTATCTCACTGGGTAACCAGTTTCGCTGTATCCGGTTTCGGCAATTTTGAAAAAACACACTTAACTCAGGTGAAACCACATGTTAGTATATAATATGTTAGTATGTTCAGTGTAGTGTAGACCACATGTTAGTAATGTGTGTATGATATGTAGGTATAGTGCACACATGTATATGAAGCACTGTGTATGGGATATATACATATTATACAGTGTAAACAATCATAATAAACAATTACATAGATACATTACAACAATGTGACCCCAAAACTATAGAGAAGACATATTAAGAATACAATCGATCGGGTCCATCGATATCACTTCATGGACTCCTCTAAAAAGAATATAATTTACATTTTCCGAAAGGTTTACATTAAAAATGCAAAATTGTGTCAGTTTGACAACTCAGCCCACAGAAAATACTATAACGCCTGTTCATAAAAGTTCTTTCCTCCTTACATGATCTTGTCTCTTTGTTTGGGGGCTTATATGTGTGTGGTATGTATCTGTCAACTACGGTTATATTGAGCTGACTTCAATAATGTGCTTGAATAATTCTGTCAACTGTTAACCTTGTTTTAATGACGAATACTTGTTTTGCGTGCAGGTCTTGCCTCCATAACAACTGGATACCCACACACTGTTACACGTGTTGGCGACGATGTTAACATAACCATGAACCCAGCGGATGTCAGCTCCCTATACTACGTATGGGTGAATGGTTCGGTAGCTGTGAAACTGTTACTGGTCCAGCCTAGGTCACACCGTGTACGGGTACTCAACAGTAGTCACACCGGCTACACGACCAGGATCAGATACACCAGGGAGGACTCACTATCACAGACAGGACAGCTGAGGTTTACCATCTACAATGTTACTGTACAGGACGCTGGTACTTACTACTGTCAACGAACCAATGAACAGACAGTTACTGGATGTAGACAGGTCCTCGTTGTAGCACGTGAGTAGGATATGGGATTAACAGAATATTATTTGAAGAATAAAGTTGGACTGTCTTAATGTATCTCCAACATAAATAAATAGCTGTTCAATCTTCTATTGCCGTAGAAGAACATTAGGTGAGGTGAAATTGGGGTTTAGATTATTGTATATATGGATCCAGGTATGTGTGAGTGTCCGAGCATGCGTGCGTGTTTGTGTGTATGCATGTGGGTATGTGTGTGTGTATATGTGTGTGTTGTATGCATGAGTGTGTGTTGTATGCATGTGTGCGATGTATGCATGTGTGTGCTGTATGCATGCGTGTATGTATGCATGCGTGTGTATGTATGTGTGTGTGTTGTATGCATGTGTGTTCTGCGCATGTGTGTGTTGTATGCATGTGTGTGCGTTGTATGCATGTGTGTACGTATATGTGTGTTGTATGCATGTGTCTGTTGTATGCATGTGTGTGCGTTGTACGCATGTGTGTATGTATGTGTGTTGTATGTGTGTGTGTGTGTTGTCTGTGTCTGTGGTGTATGCATATGTGTGCGTGTATGCATGTGCGTGTGTTGTATGCATGTGTGTTTGTTGTGTGCATGTATGTGTGTAGTATGCATGTGTGTATGTGAACTATGCTTGTTCACCGTCAAAGAAGCAGTGTCGCAGTGTAAGATGGATGAGTGTATCAGTCTTGCATCTTTGAACGCCACTTGCTATAACGCACCTGGTAGTGAAACCGTCGACCCTCCTCTCTCCGGAAAGTACATTTAACTCGTTTCAGTAAAGGCAGCCAGTAGTTGTGTGGTAACTATCATATATAATCAACAAAACGGTTAGGAGTATTAGGATCCAGCCAACATGTATTCCCTGCTGTAACTGTGGAACACTGACAGTGGAACACTGAGTGAGTGAGTGAGTGAGTGAGTTTTTTTAACAATATTCCAGCAATATCATGACAAGTGACATCAGAAATCGGCTTCACTCATTGTTCCCATCTGGGGAATCGAACCCGGGTCTTCCACGTTACGAGTGAATGCACTAACTATTTAACATTTGATAGATAATAATGATAAACAGTATATAAATACAAGTATGTAAGCATTTAGTAACATCTTGTTCAATGGCACTCGTTCTACGGTCTGAGGATATTTGTTATATTTGTTCACAGAGGAGCCAACCACACCTACCATCACCGGACCTGCCCCACCTGTATCAGGTGAGAATGTCACCCTGACATGCCCCTCCTCGTCCCGGAGTCTACCCCCGGACCACCCCCCCCACCCCCCCACTGACCATGACCTACATCTGGAGGAGGAACAGGGCCCTGCTAGACTCTGGTGATGAGTCTCCTACAGGTGGAGATGACCTGACAATAACCCACATCAACAGAGAGAACCAGGGAGACATCTACAGCTGCCAGGCCGTGGAGGAGGGGCTGCAGTCTGACTGGAGTCACGGACATGTACTGGATGTTCTCTGTGAGTAATAACTTGCCTTCTCTGCGGTATAGGAACCTCGTGTATCTTATCTTTGTAACTGTGCTTCTGAGTGATAGTGTTGTCACAACCTTCTTTGCTGAAGTACTGTGCTCTCTGTAAACAAATCAGAAATGATTATTGTGACAGTTCGGATATCAAATATAGGCAGGTCTGATTTAATGATCCATTCAAAGTTTTAGAGTTTCAGAGGCTATCGAAACTGCTGATAGTTTCCCGGCACTGTAAGCTCACCTGTATATGTTGTCAAGAGTTGTTCATAGCAACAGAGTGGGTGAGTGAGTTAAAACGGTGTTCCACTTGTAGTCTGTACTTATTGTGGGAGGAAAGCATAAATTGATACGAGTCTGAGACGTTTACCAGTTTTGTGAATCCCAAGACCACAGGCCAAACTAAACAACATGTCTTCATTCACCGAAGCAAACTGCACTAATATCTCAGAAATAGCTTCTTAGCTGACCATCTCACATGCATTCCAGATGGACCTGGTCAGATACAGTTTGACGGCACAAGTGACAAGCTGGAGGTAGAAGAAGGGAAACCTGTAACAGTGACATGTTCTGCTGACTGTAACCCTGCCTGTACTGTAACCTGGTGGAACATATCCAGACAGACTGTGATTACAGGACAGGGGGAGGCTGTGTTGTCTATACCAGCTGTAGACGTACCTGTGTCTGGACTGTACACGTGTCACGTCAACAACAGCCATGGGAGTGCATCACGGAACCTGACGCTGGAGGTCTTCTGTAAGTCAACACTTCAGTAATAGAATCTGTTATATACAACCTATTGTTGGGGATGACGCCTGTTGGGGTGGCCCCCTGTTCGTACACCTGATCCTGCTGGAACATCTGCTAGGACACCGAAAGTAATGGCACCCAAAGATTTAAAAGAACCAAAGACCCTTTAGATGTCACTTAAAGATTAAAAATAATTAACCATTTGAAACCGTAATATTGATGAAGAATTTAATTTTCACTATAATCTGATGGCATTATCACTCCAATGATTCTTAACTTTCAGATTCTCCAAAAATCCCAAATGTTTCCGTTAACTCGAAAAAATCAATTAGAAACCCAGCCCTACAGAATACAGTGCTCCTGAAACTCTATTATATGAGGAATATAATTTGACACTTTTCGTTACATATTTCCGTTTCTTCACCCTGCACAAATGAGAACACTGATGTTACAGACATTGCATGTCCTCCTGTGGAGCTGATGTTGACAATGACGTTGTTGTTGGGGATGTACAGCGTACCTCATCAATCACTTACAAAGCGTGGCACGGAAAGGTTATTTCAGATGAACATCGCAAGTGTCAACCCATTAATATGTTTTGAATCGGGTTAAAACCTCCCGAAGAGGCTTGATGTTACATGATTATACTCGTATGCATACTGAACTGAATATTGTCCATAGTAAATGTTTCAGCACGTGAAGTTACTGAATCTGGTGTCGTTTCCATCGTCCCCGTGACTGGTGTCTGTTCCATCCTGATCGTGGTCATCGCCGTTGTCGTCATCGTTGTTGTTCGTAGAAAACAGAGACGTGGAGGTAATACGGTGTGATGTGAGAGTGAATGACGATAACCCGAGGGTCACGTAAAGTTGTCCCTCTCAGAAGCACTCCTTTCGCACTTTCGTTCAGCAATTACAAATACTGATCTCACTTAATAGCGTGTTGCGGTTCATATATTAACTACATGCTCATGTTTACATCACGCAATGGATGTGTGTGTTCAGTGTATCGTTTACCGGGAATAGTTGGCTCCATAGAATAGCAAGACCAATGCTTTCAAATGAACAGTCACACGATGATAGTGCATAAGAAAGATAGACACGTTCTTTTATGTGAGTGAGTATGGTTTGACGCCGCTTTTAGCAATATTTCCGCAATATCACGGTGGGGACACCAGAAATTGGCTTCACACATTGTACCCAAGTGCGGCATCGAACCCGGGTCTTTTTAACCGCTACTCTACCCCACCGTCCCTTCCTATATATATACACATGTACTGAATTATATATGACAGTGTGGGACAACGCTTTGGGTGAGGTAGGCGGGGAGGGCGGGTTGGATGTTTACTTCAGAATACGTTGTACCCCCACAACTGATATATACCAATATTGACCAGCATCAGAAACGCAATTCAAGAAATCAAAACTCACACTGAATCTCGATTCGTCTGAAAAGATGACACCATCCCACCTTCGGTGTCCAGAACAGAACAGAACAGAACAGAACTTTTATTATGCTCAGCCTGGGGTACTCGACATAACAGGTACATATAATTATACAGTTGAGAATACATAGGATGGCGTGATGGTTTACAAGGAAGATTATACACAGTTTGTTTAAAACACTATTTCGTTTACAGTTTAACAATTCGTTAAATCTTAAAACATTGGGTTTTTCAACATAATGGTTTGGGATATAAGTTTTCCTATGATGTTTGAAGAAAGGGCAGAGAAAAATGTAATGAAATCCATCGCCAACATCACACGTGCAGCAGAGGTTACACATTCTTTCTTCGAGTGGAATTTACTTCTATATGTGAACGATGGCAGGAAGTTCTAAACAAGAGAAATTTAAGAGCCAAGGAGGAAGGGATATATGTGAGATATTTCTCAAAGACAAGTTCAGATTTGAATATGCGATACATGGTACCCTTAGAAGAATTCGAAATCTCTGCGCGCCATGTTTGGGTTGCTATATCATCTAAACCTAAGGAGATACTAGTTTTGATTTCATTAAGAAAGACATCTGGTTGACTTACCCAGCAGATGCTTTAGCCTCTTTCATTAAATACGGCTTCCACGGATTTTATCCATTTTTTGTTGCTATTGTTTATGCAAGCTTCATTATATAACATTTGGTATACAATTGTTGACAGCTTTTGTTCTTTACCAGATAGGAGTCTAGCCCAGAAATATACCATGCGACATTTGATAGAGTTATTTAGGGGTACCCTTCCAAATTCTTCATATAGCATTATAATGGCGTGCTTCTCTTAACGGGAATGAATTTGCGTAAAAAGTTTACATGAACGGATTCTATAGATTTACAGTTTTCAAAACCCCATATTTCGCAGCCGTATAACGGAATTGGCTTAACCACGGTGACCTCGATTTATCACCCAACGGCGCCGTTCCAGTCGATGTCTGTTGGTGAGGATGGGTCCACGGTATGGTCGACGGCAATGTTAGCCTGCCGCTGGGAGTCGTCAACGCACAGTTCTTTCGCTGATAGGGCGCCCCCTAGACCCAATCACGGCATTAGCAGTGCTTACTGCCGCCTGCAGACGGTTCAGGAGGTGCTGAAGTCGGATTATCCGATCCTGTCTTTGTGACGTCACACGGGGGTGTACCGGAACGGGGGCGATCAGAAACGCTACCAGTTGCCACTACCCCTTGCTGCAGACGAGTTATTGTCGAAGGATGCACCTACAAATGTCGGGCTACACGAACTTGTCGAACTCCAGCATTCAGCATGCCTATTGCTTGGTGTCTCTCTATTTCACTTACACGTGGCATGTTGCTGTGAAATGACAGCATTACGACACTGTCTGCATTTGTAGCCCTACGTCCACACTCTGCACGTGTGTCATGCATTTCATCCTTGCTTGTTTCTCCCAAATGATTTGGAACACCATCCTGCATGGTGAATGCTTTATCATCACCACATCTTACTTGTGTTAAAGTATTAAATCCAAACTCATGCTGAAAAAGTACAATTTTCATGAATTCTGAGTTGCGTTTTTATTGCTGGTCAGTATATATACACCAATACAAACGTTAAGCAGTACTAATATGATTTTAGATGTAATGTCTTTACTATAACTGTAAAACATAAATAATACTTCGGTATGTAGCATCTGATGTCCATTTCCACCCTGTTACTCAGTAAAACGTTATCTGGCAAGCATTTCACTTTATATTGACATGTTTTACATTTTCAAATGATCATTTTGTCCTATTTATACTAATAGATCTTCCCTATGTCATATTTTTCACGTCCATGTGGTGGATTTTGTTTAAATTTAAAGATGTCCTTGATGGTGTCTATTAGTATTCATTCAGGAAGTAAATGTGGGGAAATTGAATCTGAGACCAGCCTTTAAGGAAGAGTTTATAGTGAGTGAATATGAGCAATATCACGAAGAGGGACACCCGAAATGGGCTTCAGACATTGTACCCATGTGGGGAATCGAACCTGGGTGTTCGGTGTAAAGAGTTTATACCCTTAAGAGACACTATTATTGAGATCATATGCAAAACCTTTCACACCCATAAATATAGTGAAAATTGAATATCTATGTCATAAGCTTACATGAGAAGTTAGATGTAAATTACTTAAAATTGTAGTGGTGTCAACTTGACATGTCCTTGTCTGTGTGTGTTTCAGTCCAACATAGACTCATTTCACTTTTCTTATATGTCAATGTCCCTCAAGATGCATTTGAACAGCCTGAGAAATATGAATAATTTCTCTTTTATAACCTCAAGACGCTTGAACGGCATTTGAGATATGAATCAATAGTGTGCACACATTTCCATATTTGATGGTCTTTAGCTTTCAGTGAGTGAGTGAGGATGTTTACGCCGCTTTTAGCAATATCCCAGCAATATCCCAGCGGGAGACACTTTAACCACTAGTCTTACCATCCCAACAAGGACTTCCAAGACACCTGTGTTACTTAGCTGACAGTCACATATCGTTCTACAAATTTCAAGTTATTTATGTCTACTTCAAAGGTATGCAAGTATACGAGCAATTCGTTTATAATATATATTTTCCACCTAACAGTTGGCATCTACACAATTATATCTTTCAGGAAGGGGAGACATTCATAGTCGGTGAGTATCTGCTATCCAGTTGGTAAGGCAAATGGGTAAATTGAAACTTAGTAGTATCTTCTCTTTTTCAAGGCTGTTGGATAAACAGTTGGCAGTATCTGCTATCCTTCAAGGCTATTGGATAAACAGTTGGCAGTATCTGCTATCCTTCAACGTAAACAGTTGGCAGTATCTGCTATTCTTCAAGGCTATTGGGTAACAGTTGGCAGTATCTGCTATCCTTCAAGACTATTGGGTACACTGTTTGCAGTATCTGCTATCCTTCAAGACTATTGGGTACACTGTTGGCAGTATCTGCAATCCTTCAAGGCTATTAGGTAAACAGTTGGCAGTATCTGCTATCCAGGTGGTAAGGCTAATGCGTAAACAGTTGGCAGTATCTGCTATTCTTCAAGGCTATTGGGGAAACAGTTGGCAGTATCTGCTCTCCTTCAACGGCTGTTGGGTAACAGTTGGCAGTATCTGCTATCCTTCAAGGCTATTGGATAAACAGTTGGCAGTATCTGCTATCCTTCAACGTAAACAGTTGGCAGTATCTGCTATTCTTCAAGGCTATTGGGTAACAGTTGGCAGTATCTGCTATCCTTCAAGACTATTGGGTACACTGTTTGCAGTATCTGCTATCCTTCAAGACTATTGGGTACACTGTTGGCAGTATCTGCAATCCTTCAAGGCTATTAGGTAAACAGTTGGCAGTATCTGCTATCCAGGTGGTAAGGCTAATGCGTAAACAGTTGGCAGTATCTGCTATTCTTCAAGGCTATTGGGGAAACAGTTGGCAGTATCTGCTCTCCTTCAACGGCTGTTGGGTAACAGTTGGCAGTATCTGCTCTTTTTCAAGGCTGTTGGATAAACAGTTGGCAGTATCTGCTATCCTTCAAGGGTAATCGGTAAAAAGTTTGCAGTATCTGCTATCCTTCAAGACTATTGGGTACACTGTTGGCAGTATCTGCAATCCTTCAAGGCTATTGGGTAAACAGTTGACAGTATCTGCTATCCAGGTTGTAAGGCTAATGCGTAAACAGTTGGCAGTATCTGCTATTCTTCAAGGCTATTGAGTAAGCAGTTCATCATCAACACAATTTGACTGGCTATATCACTAATCAATAGCTGTGTGATATCGAGCACAATTTAAATCAATGGCGCACGGGCAATGAACAGCTTGATAGTTATTACTCTTCCAGGCAAATGTTTCAAGGGCGTGAACAACCTGTATTTTCGTGAACACCTGGTGTCTTCACTGATTTTCTCAGTGGTTCATTCATATCATTTTGACAGCTCTTTTGTGATTTGCAACACTGTTTTTATAAATATTCCTTGATTCCAACCAGTTTCTACATTTCTTTCCCCCTAGCGTTGTCACATACATCCTTGACGCAGAAACAGACGGCGGCTACCAGGAGATAGAAGGTTGGTGTTGTACGTCATCGTAGACCCTTAAACGTCACATGAATTAGTTCAGATAAACAGGTCATAGCGAATGATTAAATGGGCACTGTTATGTACCATGTCTAAAAACAGTCTTGGAATTTTAGCTGTCAACATAGAAAAACTAAAGGCCTATCATAACTTTTAGCTCCGAGTGACCTTGGGCGTTGGGGTAGCCCAGTGGTTAAGCGTTAAAGTCGAAGGCCCGGGTTCGATTCCTGACATAGGATCAAT